AACGACCACAAGTGCAGCAGGTTTTCGTTTTGGAACCTTCAACCAGAACCAGCTGCAAACAGAGACAGTTGTCTTTGGTAATCCCTATTATCTCAATCCCAACGAGAACATGTCTAAATCTCTTGTTGCTGAGTCCTTTGATGGGACAAACTATGTTATGTGGAGTAGATCTATACAAGTAGTGTTGAAAACAAAGAACAAACTGGATTTTATTGATGGGTCAGTTCCAACTCCTCCTCGTGAAGCAGATCTGTTTAGTCTTTGGGATGCTTGTAATACTGTAGTCCTCTGTTGGTTACAGAACTCAATGACTAAAGAGATTAGGAGGTCAGTACTGAATCATACAAATGCTAAGGCATTGTGGGAAGAGTTAAAAAGACGTTTTGGCCAACCCAATGCTCTTAGAATCTTGAACCTGGAAGATGAAATTCAAGCCTGTAAGCAGGGTACCAGATCTATAACTCAGTATTACACAGCTATTAAGGGTCTATGGGATGAGTATGTGGAATTTAGCCCAATAGTTCCATGTGTTTGTGCTCCTGGAAATCCCATACCCTGTGCAGCTGTGGCTGCCTTCATACAGAAGCAGGAGACTGATTATCTGGTTAGATTCCTAAGGGGTCTTAACTCTGACTATGATGTGATTAAGACACAACTTCTCTTGCAAAAGCCACTACCCACAGTACCAACGGCAGTGGATGATCTGCTACAGCATGAGCAGAAACTCAAAACAGACAATGCTGTATCAGGAAAGAAGGGACAAAGTCTGGCTTTAGCAGTTGGAGGAAACAACTCAAGAGAGAATACTGAGACCAGAGGAAAGAAGTTTTGTCGATTCTGTAAGATGAACAACCACAACATTGAGGATTGTTGGAAGCTGAAGAGGAAGCAGGAAATGCAAAGAGAAGGTGGAGGTAATGGGGGTTCTTCTACCAGTTCTGGTTCAAGCTCCAGCACACCAAGGTTTGCTGGCTCTATCTCTCAAGGGAGTGGGAATGAGAGTGCATCAGAAGGTAGTGTGATCAATGAGAGCAAGTCAGCAGCACCTACTGGCTTCACAGCAGAGGAAATGACTCGCCTCAGATATTTGTTACAGACTGGTGCTAACACTCAGTCCTCTCCACCTACTTCCCCATCCATCAACCACCAAGCCTACTCAGCCACCCAATATCCCACTTCCTTCCCTCATTTTTCAGGTAAACATGTTCTGTCCTCTTCCCAAACCTCTAAAACACAAGACCTAACTTTATGGATTGTGGACACAGGGGCATCAGACCATATTGCCTGTAGTCTTTCCCTATTCTCTAGTTATACTCCAGTCCAAAATTCCTTTGTTTATCTCCCTAATAGTACCAAAGTCACTGTTACATGCATAGGAACAGTGAAACTAGATTGTGGATTAACCTTACATGAAGTTCTCCTAGTGCCACAATTTTCTTTTAATCTCATTTCTGTTAGTAAACTTACCCTTGATAACCCTTTTTCCTTACACTTCCATTCTGATAAATGTGAAATCCAAGACCTCTTAAACCAGAAGAGGATTGGTTTAGCCCACACAACTAGAGGCCTCTATCACCTTGTCCTTCCTTCAAGACAATCCAAGCCTTCCACTTCATCAGTTCCTCAACACCAACACCAAGCAGCACCTATTTTCAACTTCAATCCACAAGACCTGAACCTGTGGCACTGGAGACTAGGGCACCCAAGTCATGATAGACAGTCTTTACTTAGCCATGTAATTCCCTCAGTAGCTAGAACTAAAACTATACATTGTGATGTATGTCACTTTTCCAAACAACGCAAACTTCCTTTCCCTGTTAGCACCAGTTTGGCATCTGAGGCATTTCATTTAGTACACATGGATATTTGGGGCCCCCTTTCCACAGTTTCATATGATGGTTTTTCTTACTTTTTAACTGTTGTGGATGATTACTCTCGTTGTGTGTGGGTGTATCTGATGAAGCATAAGAGTGAAGTAAGGGAGTTGATTAAGGGATTCTGTAACTTGGTCCACACTCAATTCCATACATCTGTTAAAGTGATCAGAACTGATCAAGGCAAGGAATTTGAGATGTGTGAGTTTTTCAGTTCAGCAGGGATTGAACATCAAGTTTCCTGTGTGGAAACACCAGAGCAGAATGGAAGGGTGGAGAGAAAACACCAGCACATACTCAATGTTGCTAGGTGCTTGAAGTTCCAGTCAGGGTTACCTCTCCTTTACTGGAGTGATTTTGTTCTACATGCAGTTTATTTGATAAATAGAATGCCAACCCCAATTTTACAAAACAGAACACCTTATGAAGTATTACACAAGCAAGTACCCTTCATGGGACACTTGAAAGTCTTTGGATGCCTCTGCTATGCTAATACACTAGTACATGGAAGAACAAAATTTGCTCCAAGGGCTAGGCAGTGTGTGTTCATTGGAATCCCCTCAGGCCTTAAAGGCTATAAAGTTCTGGATATTCACAGCAAACAGGTGTTTTTCTCCAGAAATGTCTCTTTCTATGAGAATATCATTCCCTTCAAGTTTCAAACCACCTCGGTTCCTCTTGAAAATCCTTCCAATCCCCATGTCTCACCACCTGCTACAAACTCTCCATCCCTCACAGTACCTTTTCCTCTTGATGCATCTCCTTCTCAGTTTCTTTCATCCACGGATGAAGGGGGGAATTCTGAGCATGAGATGTCTCCTGAAGTATCTCCTACTGAGCCAGCTGTGCCACTTACTGAAGTGAATGACCATTACACATATTTTGATTCTGATAATCAGGAACTCCATCCCCAAGCTGATGTTGATCCTGATGACCCCAGCACAGAAGTGAACAAAAGGCCATCCAGGCACATCAAGCTGCCAACTAAGTATGGAGATTATGAGCTGGATTCTTCACTCAAGTTTGGAGCATTTGGTGGTACCAATTCCTGTTACAGGTATCCCCTTTGTTTAAGTGTTAATGCTCTAAGCAAGGAAGATAGATCTTATGCATTGAATGTCATGAACCTAGTGGAGCCTAAGTCTTACTATGAAGCAGTGAAGTCAGATGTTTGGAATAGGGCTATGAAGGATGAGATGTTTGCACTAGAAGAAAACCAAACCTGGGACATAGTTCCATTGCCACATGGAGCTAAAGAAATTGGCAATAAGTGGGTTTATAAAATTAAGCTTCATCAGGATGGTTCATTGGAGAGAAACAAAGCCAGGTTAGTGACAAAGGGGTATACCCAAGTCTATGGAATTGACTTCCTAGACACATACTCACCTGTAGCCAAAATTAACACTGTGAAAACCTTCTTAGCAGTAGCAAGTGTGAAACACTGGGTGCTTGAAGAACTAGATGTCTCTAATGCTTTCTTACATGGAGATTTAGAAGAGGTAGTTTACATGAAATTACCTTTGGGATTGGAAGTGCCATCAGGGAGTGGACAAAGGATGACTTGTAGACTGAAAAAGTCATTATATGGCCTTAAGCAGGCATCAAGACAATGGTTTGCAAAATTGACAGATTTCCTATTGAAGTTTGGCTTTTCACAGTCTGCATCTGACTATTCTCTTTTCACCAAGTGGACTCATGGCAAGATTACAGTCCTCCTGGTTTATGTTGATGACATTATACTAGGAGGAGACTCAAGGAAGGATATTGAGAAAGTTAAATCTGCCCTGAGCAAAGCATTTAAGATCAAGCTACTTGGATCACTCAAGTACTTTCTTGGTTTAGAAGTGAGCAGAACTGAGGATGGTTTAGATGTATGCCAAAGGAAATACTGTATTGAGTTATTGAAGGACACAGGATACCTGGAGTCCAAAGGGTGCAAGACACCAATTGATACCAAGGTCAAGTTGACATCACATGGAACCTTGCTGGAAGATGCAGAAGGTTATAGACGTCTGGTTGGAAGGTTGCATTATCTTACCATTACCAGGCCTGACATAGCATTTTCTGTTCAGCAGCTATGTCAGTACCAGAAGAATCCTTGTGTGGAACATATGCAAGCAGCATACATGGTACTTAGATACCTAAAGTCCTCACCTGATCAGGGGATTCATTTCAGTAGTAAAGCTGAGTTAAGACTTACTGGATATAGTGACTCAGACTGGGCCAGTTGCCCTGACACCAGAAGATCCATTACTGGATATTGCACCATGGTTGGTTCCTCTCTAGTAACCTGGAAAACGAAGAAGCAGACTACAGTCTCGAGGTCATCCTCTGAGGCTGAGTATAGAGCCTTAGCTCATCTTGTTTGTGAAGTAGAATGGATCAAGAGACTGCTCAGTGAACTGGCAGTAGAAGTGCCTCTCCCTATAACAGTCTATTGTGATAATAGATCTGCTATACATATAGCAGAGAATCCTGTCTTTCACGAGAGGACAAAACATATCGAGATAGATATGCATGTTACAAGGGAGAGGATTAAAGTGGGTTTGATCAAACTGAAAGTCCATTAACACTGCAGAACAACTTGCAGATATTTTCACTAAGGGGCTGGATCGTTTCAGGATTAAGGAGTTGCTTGTCAAGTTGGGGATCAAGTTGATACCACCAACTTGAGGGGGGCTGACAGAATTGGAGAGAAGATGGAGGAAATCAAAAGAGAAGAACTGCAGAAGCACTAATCCAGATTGGGGAAGGATTCGTGATCCAAGGAAGATGGAAGAAGACTGGAACGACTGCGTTTCATGTTAGGCTGTTTAGTTGTGAGAGAACGGCAGCGTTTTATTCTATTTGCACTTAGCCGTTAAGTTTTACTGTTTGTTTAATTTAAATCAATCATGTAAGGACAGCTGTCTTATTTGTGTTAATCAAACACCAGCTATAAAAGCTGAAGGGAGACTCAGAATGAGAGGCATTCCCGATTGCCATCTTAGTACTGGCAACTATAATGGTTTGTTTGAATACCAGCTCCTCCAATTCCAATTCCTCCATTGTAGGAAGCTTAAAAGACCAGGCGACGACGTTAACAGATCGCCGACGCTTCGTGGTCTCCAAATTACGATCAGCCAGGGTTAACCCAAACTTTCATTTAACTGTACGATGCTTGATTCTTTGAATCATATTTTTATCATCTATGGACAGCCGCCCATAGGCATGAAACACCGTGCTTCGTCTGCAAACGGTGGCGGATCGGGAGTCGAAAGCCCCTTTTGGCATCTCCTCTGCATTCTGATCCGACTGATCACCAATCTTGTTGGATTTGCGGTGTCGTTGTCGTTGTTGATTGTTGAGACAGGCCAGGAAGATCGAGAGTACCATGGCGATCAGAAGCTGGCCGAGCCTTCGCAGGAGAGAGGGAAGAGAACTCCCCATTTTTTTTTATTTTTTTTGGGGATCGTATGTGATAGTCATCTATCTACTTATCTTGTCACAATACCATATATGAGAAATGCAATGAAAATCATATGTAGAAGTAACATAATAAAGTGCTGGAAACTCAAAAGTAACATAATGAAACAGGAAAATTATACAAGTGATGCATACAATAGTGTGAACAAAAATATACAAGCCAAGAAACTCAAACAACAACCTGACCACAAAAAACAAACAATGAGCCCTCTACACAAGAAATCGCAAGACATAACAACATTATCGTCAACTCCGAAACACAATCACATCCGCCAACTTCGTGTACTACTTCACTGATCAGTTGCCAGGGCCTGCCGGGGTAAGGCCGGGGATGGAAGGAATGGTAGGAAAACCGCTAGGCAGCGGCGGCAGAGAAACCTTTGGCATGGAAGGAATGGTGGGCATTGTGGGAATGGCACCGGCGCTCGGGAGTGGCGGCAATCCTCCTCCGGACGGCAGGGTGGGCATGGCGCCGGCGCTGGGAAGTGGTGGCAATCCTCCTCCGGTTGGCAGAGATGGGATGGTGGGCATGGCGGCGCCGGCGCTGGGGAGCGGTGGTAATCCTCCTCCGGACGGCAGATTTGGTAGCGGCAGGGTGGGCTGAGGCAGAGATGGGATGGTGGGCATAGGAGGCAGTGCTGTGGGTTGTGGCAGTTGGAGAAGCTGTCGTGCCGCCATTCCATGTTCCATGTTGCAGAATGTGACGGCGAGGACGAGAGCAAAGAGGAACAAGTTAGAAGAAGAAGCCATGTCTGATTTAACTTGTTGGAGGAGATTTCCGAGGGTTGTTTTGTTTGGGTTTTGTTGGTTTCAACTTCAAAGTGATGGAGGAAAAGGTGTCGGAGGTAGGGATTTATATATAGGCAGTCAAATTACTCGCATAGTTGAGAAAAAAGTATAAGTAGTTCACCTCCTGTCTGTTTTTCTTTGTTTGGAAAGAGTAGTTCACCTCCTTACCCATAAAAATGCTGACGGGGTAGGTAAGGAAAACGGCTAGTCGGCTGGCTTGTACTTGTACATCTCCAAGTTTGGCTGAGCTTATTACTGATCATATGTTTGGTTGAATTTTTTCCCTTTTTCATAGAAATAATAATAATAATTAGCTTCTATCCATATCACGTACGTACAACATCAGCTCCTAAATTGTCTAATATGCATTGGAGCTAAGGTTAACTCATTTGTCTATCTGGGTCTGCTACTTTGGAATGCCTATTCTAGTATTCTTATTAATGAGAAGAGCGGTCATAAATCAACTGGTATCAATAACTTGAGTTGCTGGAAGAGGCTCGTGTATGGTGCTTAACTATTTCCGTACAAAAGCGTATCCAGAAATTAAATTAAATTTAAATCTTATGGTGAAATGTAATGAGAGACATATTCGGTATTTTCAAAAATTAAATTTAATAAATAAGTTATATTTTAAAATATCAGTGTCCTCTCTCATAGAATTCGGACACGGAAAAATCAATACTTAAAAATTAGTAAATTACAACTACTTAAATTAGAAGTGATTTATCAATTCTTTTGTATTGATTTTATTTGTTAAGAGATCAAATACGGTAACGAAAATAGAAACAAACACGGATTTACATGGTATCCCTAGAATTTCGAGGACTAATCCACGTAAGAGGTTGAACACCCTTCGACTACTTGATTTTCTATCACTGGTAACCGCCACCGAGATTTTAAGTTATTGGACCTGCTTAAAGTAGCTATCTCCTCCATGGTGAGACTGATGTTCATATGGCTGTGAAGCAAGCCTTGTTGCTGGTTGTTGGTTCGTTGCTCGCTCCAATTTCCACACGCAACTGTAAGCTTGAATATGCATTGTTTCTGGTTGGGATGCTGGAGGACATAAGGACTTATAATTGGAGTGGCCTAGTTGTGAAGGTGCTGAAGAAAGGGTTGGCTGCTGCTAAGGCAAATGAAGCTGTTGCTAGGGCGCGGAGAGCATCCGTGTTGTGGGTTCGCTGGGATATACACTTCTTGATAGTATGTTATGAGCATTGTTTTAGTTTCATTTTGCTTTAGTTTTCCACTTCTTGACATAAATTTTTTAATTCAGTTTTTTATATGTCCATTTGCTGTGCTTTCTTAGAGTAGAAGGTTTGGCCACCTCCACCAGCCTAAGCTGCAGCTACTGATTGAAACCATGGATGGATTAAGTAGTCGAAACTGTCAACATTGGTGAAGACGAGGAAAGAAGAATTCAACTGGTTGTCATGTTGATGACAAGGGACGAGGTCAGATCCCTCTGAAGTCTACAACACGGAATGGTAGGAGAATGACGATCTGCACCGCCTTGACATCAACCAGGTATGTACATGTCGTCTTTGTTTGTAGCTTAAGGTGGTGGGTTGGTAGAAATGGTTGCATGTTGAGAACTGAATGATTGTGTGTAGGTTAAGGCAATGCGATCAATCAGTGAGAGCATGATCAGTAACTGGGAATCAAGGCGGGCTAAGGTCCAAAAGAGGGAGGCCATTTTGCTCCAACAACATAACATTTGAACTTTTCTTTGTAGTTGTTTCTTTCTTAATAGTTCTAATTGCTTTGTTGGAATGGCTTTTAAGTTGCAATGTACTAGGTTTGTTTGGATGAATACAACTTGTTTCTATGGTAGATTGATATTAGTTAGTGGTATATGGATATTACGCTAGACAATTTCGATATTAGTCTGTGGTACAAGGATATTGTTGTGGACAATTTTTATATTAGTTCGTGGTACATGGATATTTCTATGGACACTTTTGATATTAGTCTGTGGTAGATGGATATCATTCTGTTTATGTTGGATACTAGTCTGTGGTAGACTCTGTGCAATCTCGATATGGGTTGAAATTGGTTACTTAAGATGTTGTATACTTGCCCATCTGTTTTTACAGCTGAAGGTTGTGTGTTTTGTGGTTGAACAAACAGTTGGGTGGATTTATCCACACGATTGTCTCATATGATAGACCTGAAGATGCAAACATGGATGATGGTGAACCTGTGGACGAGGAAGGACCTCAGGTGGTAGCTGAGGAAGAAACTCAAGCTTCTGAAGGTCATATGTTAGACCTGAAGGAAGCAAACATGGATAATGGTGAATCCTGCGGATGAGGAAGCATATGTGGTAGCCGAGGAAGAAACTCAAGCATCTAAAGTTAGGATGAGTGAGCCGGTCAAGGTCACACTCATCTACTCCCGAAGAAGACGTAACACTCACCTACTCTTAATTTCCCAGACCGATGTCGTACCTATGCCTAAACCTACTCAGTTGCCCGTGCCTCCAGATTCCACATCACCGGGGAGTGATTCGGCGGCTGTGGAGCAGCCTCCTCCGCCTCCGGTGGCAGAATTGGATAACATGTTTGGGATTATTGATGGGGATGGGAAGATGAGCGATGATTTTGAAGTTGGTGAGGTGGATCCAGAGGTCGTGGAGAATTGGGGGAATGAAATTGAGATCGAGGGTTAAGGTTAAGAGATATGAGCTGTGTCCTGACAGCATGAGAGAGTATATTCCGTGTTTGGACAATGTAGAGGCAATCAAGAAGTTGAAATCTAGGGAGAAAGGGGAGAAATTTGAGCGGCATTGTCCAAGAAAGGGAAAGAGCTGAACTACTTGATTCTGCCGCAAAGGGTACCGCCAACTACTTCCATGGCCCCAGAAAAATAAAGCAAATTAGTTTCTTGGCAATTGTTTGGTTGAGGATATTAGAATGTAAATGTTATTGAGGGGTAAATATGTCAATTTAATGCACTTGAGGTCGACAAAATTTGAATTCGAGGGCGACGAATAGTGATTCAGTTTCGAGTTGGGTCTAAGGTAGGACACCCCTCAATTTTAGGGGAAAATTTACGAATTCTCGACAGGTAGTAGTTTGGGCATGGAAGAAAGGGAAAAAAAATGATAGCTGAAATGATTCAAATCTATGACAATGTAGTTATTAGTAAAGAAGCCATGCGGCGCAATATCCAGTGAAAGGTAAAATATTCTAACGGTAAAGAAGAAGGCCATGGTTGAGGTGTATGGTGATTGGGACGATTCATATGCTTTACTCTCTAAACTAATCGCCGCAATGGAGGAGTCCAACCCTAGGACTGTTTTTGTGTCGTTGTACAACAATGTACAAACTGAAGATCAAGTTCGAGTACAGAATGAGTTGATGTTTCACGGTCTATTTTGGGCATTCAAGCCTTGCATTTACCAGTTTGCCTTCTGCATTCCCGTGATCCATGTATATTACATACTAATTACTATTATACTAGTTCATTTTTAAACTAAGTTAAATTTATACTAATTAAATTATTTTTAACAAGTTCACGGAACTTCCCATACTGGGAAGTATAGAGGAACAATTCTCATTGCAACTGGTGTTGATGGAAATTTATGGATTTTCCATCTCGCATTTGCATTAGTATAAGGGGAGAACAACTTAACATTGGGCATGGTTATTTGACCAGCTACACAGCCACGTCACACAGCGGCAGGGTATTACGATTATATCTGATCGACATGCTGGAATTAGGAACGTTGTGGGTTGTTTTCCCGGTGAATGTGGATGGACAAGGCGGTGGTGTATTCGACGCTTTCTGGCCAATTTCTAGCACAAATTTGGGAAGAAGACAGACATAAGAGATCAATTGTGGAATGCATGTACTTGATGTACTATTGTGCGGGTTAATTACTCATTATTCATATTGAATTTCTCATGTATTAATTAGTTATTTTTCACCTTGAAGCGGTTGCACACCAACCCAAAAAATATGAGCAGAAGATGAAGACAATCGGTTAGGTACATTGGGTCGGGGCAGTATGGGTTGAAGGTCAAGATTTGCACATGTGGACCTTCCATATGGACAACGAGGCTAGATTCGGAATTTAAACTACCAGCCATGGCGAAAGTATAAATGGAGTATACAAGGGTGACCCTCATTTCCCCCCTCGGGAAAATGGAACGTTTGTACCTCGGGGCGCCATTGCTCTGGCATTGCCGTCAGGCGTCAACAGATCGTTGTCGATCTCAATACGGATGAAATCCCTCACCATATCCAAACCCGTCCTCTCTAGATACGACGAGAGTTGAGGATGCCAAGCAGGCAAGCGTGTTGTCCCTCTATGAATGACGGGAACAAGTGATTCCAAAAAAATCCCAAACACAAAAGATGTTAGTCAAAGGAAACCAACATACTAAATTATATAAAACTAAGTGTGAAATAAATATAAATTAACTAAAACTAAGCATGAAATAAATCTTAATTAAATAAAACTAAGCGTGAATTTAATCTACATTAAATAAAGCTAAACATGAAATAAATATGAATTAACTAACACTAAGCATGAAATAAATTTAAATGAAATAACTAAGCGTGAAATAAATCTAAATTAAATAAAACTAAGTGTGAAAAAAATCTAAATCAAATAAATAAGCGTGAAATAAATCTAATTAAATAAACTAAGTAACAATTAAATTTACATTCAATAAAGCGAAGCATGAAATAAATCTATATTAAATAAAACTAGGCAAGAAATAAATCATTTACAAATATATAGGTACAGAGTGTTTATAGGATTGTTGTGCCAAATTGCACGGGAGCGATGATGTTATTGGTCGGATAAATACCTCGTATCCCTTGCCCAGGATCGATATACAATCGAAGGTCGTATATCTCGGCACCCATATGTAAAAAAAAATTAATGAATTCAGATTATTTCGCGTACAAAAATATCACAAAAGCGAGAACAAGTACGTACCTAAGATCCTCTTCGTCCATTTTTTTCAAAAGTCGGGCAGAGGTTCGACGGATTTTTAGAGGGGGGATGTAAGAAATAACTCTAGGACTTTGGTTTGATGCAGAAGATCGGACTTAGCCGCAACCATAGAGCAAACTTAGAATGAAACTAGAGTGAGGATGGAGGGAGAAAATAAAATGTGGTGTCGTGTGGTTTGGAAGGGGAAGAGGCAGCTGTATTTATAGGCGGAAGGCTCCGTGTTGGGGAAACACAGAGCATTCTCCGTCGTTGTCTAAGGCAGGGAAGAGCCCACCTTCCTCGAACACAGTGATGGGGCGGGATTGCTGACATGGAAGTTTCGGAGACGTCGGATCTGGGAAGGAAAATCAGAATCCGTGCCTCCCCGCATCTAACGGCCACTGTAAAGGGGCGAGGGGCGGATCGCTGACGTGAACAAACGCGGGGTATTACCCGCGTTCGGCAAACGCAGTGAATAACCCACTTTTGTCAAACGCAGTGAATACAACGCGTTTGTCCACCTCAACGATCCGCGTTCCCGCCCATTCATTGTGATCGTCAGACGCGGGGAGACAAGGATCAACGTCTCACAGCATTACACGTCAATGGTCTCCTTTTCCCCGCCTTTTACCAACGCGGTGATATTTTCCCCACGTTTCATAAAAGTGGTGACCTCTTTCCCGCCATTTCCGAACTCGGTGATTAATTCCCCGCATTTTACAACGGCATGTGTACGTTAGGAAATTTTCTTATAACTAATGTATTTTGGGAAATGTTTTTAACAATATGTGTATTTTGGGATTTTTTCATGAAAAGCATGTGTTTGTAACAACTAAGGTAAATGATAGCAGCGTCTTTTTGGAGTCACGTTGCATAACAGATTTTAATTCCGCCCATGAGAAGGAAAGCGTAGCCAGCAGTGGGGCGCGGATAGTATAACAACAGGATTCGTTAAGGGTAAAAGGATAAAATAACACAAAATAACATATTAAAATTAATAAATAAAGATTCCACCAGTAGCTTCCCTCTCTGTCTCTCGATCTCCTTCTCCTCCTCCCATAACCCCGTCAGCTGCTTTTCTGCCGTACTCTCTCCTCCGCACCGGCAACATCCTCGTCGGCTGCTTCTCTGTCGTACTCTCTCCTCCGCCACAAATCGACGATAGTTGCTAAACAAAAAAAAAGCAATTCACTTACAAAAAAAATACCCGAAGACTGCGACGGGAGCGTGGAAAGAAAATAGTGGATATTAATTAGAACGGCGACGATGACCGTGACCACCACATCCACTTGTTGAAGCGGATAATCCTTTTCCAGCATGGCAAGTCTCAGGGGAACCTGGATACTGCGGCCTATAGCCACATACCGGACCACAAGATCCCGCTCACCGAATCGGGTCGGGTCTAGGCACGGGAGACAGGTGCCCAATTGCAGCTTGCAGTACCTGATCTCCTCCGACTGGCGATTCAAAAAATACTTGCGAGTTTACTTCTACGTCTCCCCGTACGACTGCACTCGATCCACGCTGCGGGAGATCGGCAAAGCCTTCGATAGGAAGTGGATCATCGGGGATAGAGAAGAGTGTCAGGTTCGTAAGCAGGATTTCGGAAATTTCCAGGTCGCGGCGAGGATGAATGTCATAAAAGAGGCTAGGGAGAGGTTTGGGAGATTCTGCTTCTGTTTCCCTAAAGGAAATTCTGTTGTTGATGTCTTCGATCGCGTTTCCACTATGTTGGCAATCCTGTTACTATAGTAGATTAATTTGTTTTGTGGTACTCTGTATAGCTATTAAGCTGCAATATTTGGAGCATTAATTTTCTTTCTCCTTTATCAGATTGAAATCTTTGTAAGTGTTGCCATATTTTGATAGAGTTTCATTAGTCGTCTCGAGTTCACTCGAAAACACACCAAAAATATAGCACAATATTTGTACAGCATACTAGAAACACCATAAAGCATACCAAAAATATTTTTCAAAGCACACAATATATCTCCTAATCCTGGCCGTAAATCGCCTAAAATATACCAAAAACCCCACAAAGTATACCACAAATATGTCTAATGGACACCAGCAACCTCCTAATGCAAACCAAAAACACAGTAAAGCGAATCACAAAAAGTATAACAGAAACCTCCTAATGCAAACCACAAATCTTCTAAAACGTACCAGAACCCCCACAAAGCTAACCACAAATATTTCTAAAGCACACCACAAAACTCATAATGCAAACCACAAACACGTAAAGAAAACCACAAAAAGCAAATTAGAAACGTCCTAATTCAGGCCACAAATATATTAAAACAAATCAGAAACGCCACAAAACAAACCACAAAATTTGCGAAAGCACACAAGAAACTTCGTAATGCAAACCAGAAACACTATAAAGCAAACCACAGAGTGCATAATAAAAATGTGAGAAACCAAAGCATAATTCTCACAATGCAGACCATAACATGCGGTGATGGTTGACCGGTCAACGAAGACTGTTGACCAGACTCAGATCATCGTCGGTGACGGGATTCCGGTGCCGATAAGCATATTTCGGCCTCGATGACCAGATTCTAATCTCGATAAGCATATTCTGACCACGACAATCGGATTCCGACAGCAGTTAGTATACACCGGCGACAGTTAGCATATTCCGATCGCGGTGGGAGGATTCCGATGAAAAATAGTATATTCCGGTGACCGACAACAGATTCCGGCGGCAAGTGGCCGGACTCTGGCGACCAAAATTTTGGCAGAAAATAAAACCATATTTTATAATTAATAATTATTTTTATTTTTTAAACATATTTTTTGTAATGACAATTATGCCCTTTCTTTGATTTTACACTAGATCAATCTAACTAATAAAAAGTTATCACAACCCTAGCTTCCTATTACAATAACAACACAATGGTTGTTGTCACCCTATCTAGTCCCCCAGCAGTGTGTTCTTTGGAATTTAATTATTTTTGGATATTTAATATTTGAATTAGTAGTTTTAGTCCTTATTTAATTAGTATTAAGTTACCTAGTTAGTTTGGAACTTGTTTTCATATTCCTAAAATGTTGGATTTATGTTTTTGTGACCTCTATAAATTGAGGGTGTAAGAGCTACAAATTTTATACCCAATACCCAATATTCAAAAATCATTTACATTGAGTGTTTAATTGAGTTCCTTTGTGAACGTTTTTGCTTAATCTCTTCTTTGAGGATTCGGGAGAATTTAGTGGTCTCTGATCAACTAGAGAACGCGTCTAGTTGTGGCGAGCATCGACGATATCGATTGGCCTTTCCAATGGGTTCGAGATTGTTTGGAAGGTTTCATATACCTTTTAGCCCTTCTCATGAGTTCGAATTTATTTGATCGATTTCGCAAGTTATCTTTATTTTCGTGTTATTCAAGCAAGGAGAAAACCCTAAAAGAGTTCAATGTTGTGCAATTCTGATGTTTGGTCCAAGTTTGAGTAGATTCACGAATTAGGATCATATCATTTTTAGCCAAACACTCAACTACTTTTTAAAAAAAATTCTTATCTACAACACCAACCAGAAACTGATTCTGTAAAATTACAGCAGAGCCAAACTAGCGCTATATGAAATGTCAACTAGCAGCTCGCTATAGTGTTAGACAAAATATGAAGCAGCGATTCTACACCTGTTTGTCATTCAATGCAGCCCGTAAATTTGTTTAAGTGAGTCCCCTTTTTTTTTTTTTTTTTTGCCAAAAGATATCTTGTATTGATCAATCAAAGATAATTACACCCTGGAAACCAACCAGTACTGGAAATCAAAGAAGCGACTCATAGTCGGATACAATGAAAGGCCTTTCCTAGCTACCAAGTGAGCTACCCTATTGTTTTCTCGGCCTACAAACCGCACACTAAAACCAGACTGGGTACGAAAGTAATGACCAATCTCTTCTAGAACAGCACCCAACCGGCTATCTCTCATGATGCCTTGATTAATTTGGTCAATAATGACCTTTGCATCGCCTTCAAACCGGACCTCCGCCAATCCTTGCTCCATACACCAAACAATAGCTTCTCTAAGCACAAGCAATTCTCCCATCATCGGGTTATCCACTTGAGGAAACTAAACCCCTCTAGCCAGAAGGAGTGTCCGCTCTAGGCCAAGGAGAACCATCCCACCAACCGAATGCGACCCACCCTTCGTAGCCCCGTCCCACATGCAAACCACCTGGGAATCACCCGGTTGCGCTGCTGGTTGCATCCTCAGGACAGTCATCCTCGGAACCTGCTCCACTAGGCGAGACACCCATTCCTCATATTGTTGGTGAAACTGCCGCATGAGTGCGGGAAACCCGAATTGTTTGCCCTAAAAAACAACCCAATTCCGAGAAAGCCAGATCCTCCAAAGGATGGCAACAACAGCCATAACCACGGATGGTTGAGAAATCAGACCCAACAAACGCCTGAGAAACAAAGGAAAAGTGTGCCGAGGCAAACCCTCCCCTAGGTATTCCAACCCTGAGTAGTCCCAGAGAGCCCGCGCAACTGGACAGTACAGGAACAGATGTTCCATAGTTTCTGGGCTATCCCAACAAACTGGACACCGGGAAAGTACCTGAACCTTCTTCTCAATAAGCGCCTCCATAGTTGGCAGAGCCCGATTAAGGATTTGCCATACAAAAACCTTCAACTTCGGAGGTATCTTCGCCTCCCAAACTCTTATCCAACTTGATTTATCCATCCAGCTAACCGAGGATGGCCACCCACCCCTCCTCCTATCCAAATCTACAGCCAAATGATAAGCCGACTTTACCGAGAAAACCCCGTCAGACGTAAAATGCCAGATAATTTTATCAGGCACCTCCCACCTCGGAAGCGGAATAGCTTTGATAGCCTTACAAGTGTGAGGGTCAAACCACTGACGGAGTTTCTCATCGGACCACCTTCCTTCCCCTTGACAGATAACCTCGGCCACCAAAGGATTACCCCCTTCAGGCAAAACACGCGGATTATAACAGGGGGATCTAGTTGGAACTGAGGGATCCAGTTCGAGTGAAGAAGGGATATCGACTTGCCATTGCCATCTTAATCCCATCTCCAATAGCTGACGTCCATGAAGGATACTCTGCCACCCCCAAGAGGGACGAGACCTAGCAGCCGCGGTCAGAAAGGATCCTTGAGGGAAGTACTTGCCTTTATAAATCTGGGCAATTAGCGACTGAGGTTCACTAAGGATACGCCAACCTATCTTAGCCAGAAGAGCTTGATTGAAATGTTCAAACTGGCGAAACCCCATCCCCCCCTCATGCTTACTTCTGCACATGTTACGCCATGAAACCCATCTAATCTTGGGACTGCCCTCTTCAACACCCCACCAAAAGCGGGCCACATGTTTATCAAGGAGCCGACAAAGAGCTAGGGGAAGCCAAAAACAGGACATAACATGCAGGGGCAGGGCAAATGCGATGGATTTAATCAAAGTTTCCTTCGCAGCCCACGATAACGTCCTTTGCTTCCATCCCTGAAGTCTCTCTAAGAGTTTCTCCTCCAAATATCTGAAGGTCGCCATTTTGGATCGTGCGACCAGCGTGGGAAGTCCCAGATATTTGTCATGAACTCCCACAGCACCAACCCCAAGGATCGTTGCCAAAAATTCCTGATCGGGCGTGGAGATATTCTTACTAAAACACACAGCTCATTTCACTAAGTTAACGCGTTGGCCACTCAACTCCTCATACTCATTGAGCACCTCAATTAAATTCTCACACTCTTGAAGAGACCCTCTCAAGAAAAGGTAAGAATCATCTGCGAAGAACAAGTGCGAGACTCGAGGTGCCCGGGGCGCCACTTTCACTCCCTCTAATTTATTCTCCAGGATTGCCTTTCGGAGAAGGGCTGCCAAACCCTCCGTGCAAAGCACAAACAAGAGAGGCGAGAGCGGACCCCCTGGCGAAGGCCCCTAGAGGCAGTAAAATAACCCGAGGGCGTGCCGTTCATCAGAACCGAAAAAGAGGAGGATTAGAGACATTCATGAATCCATCCCTGCCAGACCGAATTAAAACCCATCTGATCCAAAACTGCAAGAAGGAAGGGCCATTCGACTCTATCATAGGCCTTTTCCATGTCAACCTTCAGAGCCATGTACCCCTTCTTCCCTTGCTTTTTTATCTTCAGATAGTGCATTAATTCATGTCCTATAAGGATGTTATCAATAATCTGCCGGTCTCTGATAAAACTATTCTGCCCCTCCGAAACGATCTGAGGGAGTAAGCTCGCCAGTCGTTCAACCATAATTTTGGTAATCACCTTGTAAACAAACTGGCAGAGACTAATCGGTCGCAATTGCCTTATTGTTTCCACCGAATCCACTTTAGGGATCAAAGTAAGCCACGTATGGTTAAAACTCGGCAGCATCCGACTCGACGTAAAGAAAGAGATTACTGCGTCAACCACCGAAGTGCCAACAATATCCTAGAAAGCTTTAAAGAACTTCCCAGTGAAACCATCCGACCCCGGAGCCCGCTTCGACCCCATGGCAAAGACCGTTTGCCGAACCTCACTCGGCAAAACCTCCGCCGTCAACTGCGCATTCATTTGCGGAGTAACACTATGGGCAATTGGCAGGCTCGCCACCCTCTCAGCCATATCAGGGACCTGGGATTCTGAAGTAAACAGGGTCTGGTAAAAATTTGTGGCAATAGAAGCCTTCCCGGTCTCTTCAGTAATCCATTCACCCTCCTCATTACGAAGTCCGGAAACAAAGTTCCTCTTTCGCCGCACCCTTGTGACAGTATGGAAGTAGGCAGAATTTTGATCTCCTTTCTTTAACCATTTTACCCTTGATTTCTGTTGCCAAAAAATCTCTTCCGCTTCCCACTGGCGGGATAACTCTGTTTCCAGGGTCCTGACCTCATCCCAATCCACCGGATGAACTGATTTTATCCTCTCCACCTCCGCCTGGAGAGTCTTAATATTCCACAGAGAATTCGTTGTACCCGCCTTGCTCCAATCATAAAGCAGATGACGGAGTTTCTTTAATCGCTCCCAAAGTCGAAACATAGGGGTACCTTGGATCTCTTCCTGCCAGACATACTGGACCATAGCCCTCACTTCAGGATTATCCACCCATCGGGCATCAAACCGGATAAGGGTCGACTATTCCGGGCATACGGCTTGTCGACGAGCAACAGCGCCCGATGATCCGACCCCTGGTCCGTAAAGTGTTTGACCAGAGTCTCTGGATACTCATCAAACCAGGATTGGGAACAAATAGCCCTATCCAGACGCTCTCGAATACACGCCGCACCCATGCGTTTGTTTGTCCAAGTAAATTGATCCCCTTGAAAACCCGGGTCATGGAGGCCCAAATCATGGACAAACTCCCGAAGGCTGATGGCTTGGGCTCCATTCCATGCCCGACCCCCATCCTTTTCACCCATGTGGAGAACAGTGTTCAAATCACCTATGACGACGTAGGGATAATTAATAATCTCACAAACATCCTGCAACTGAGCCAACTGAGCAGCCCGCAGAGCAACATTACAGCTAAGATAGACAAAAATCACCACATAAGAAAGATCATCTTTCTTAATTTGCGAACAAATACAAAAATCAGAATGGAAGAACACCGAAGCGTCAACCTCGAGGGACCAAGCAAACACTAGACCTCCTGATGCATCGACTGCATCTACAAAGAAACAACGAGAAAGAGCAAAACCTAAACCCCGCATACGGCGGGACACTACACTCCAGCCCGAACGTGTTTCAGAAAAAAACACGATATCCGGTTTATTCGAATGCACAAGCCCTAAAGCAGTTTGGAATGTGAGGGATGGCCCAAGTCCCCTCACATTCCATGCCAGAATCCTCATTTATCGGTTGGGGGCCACTCCAGGCTGGCTTCCTCCACCTTATCTAGAACATCTGCTGACTCCACAAATAGCTTCTTCGGGGTAGGAGGGTCACCCATTTCTCCCTCCACCTCCTCCAGCACCCGCTTGCGATTTTCCATGATTGGGTCCATTCAATTAGACCCATATGCATTCACACTCAAGTTCATGTCCCTATTTGGAATCTCCTCAACCTGCCCAATGCTAAGTCCTGCTTCAAAAGCCTCCACCACTTTGTGCACACACCCTTTCATGATATGGGAGGACACCCTGGAAGCACCAGCAGGCGAACGACGCTTGATCTCAAAAGAAAGAGGATCCCCTGGTGAAGGATCTTCTTCAGAATCCGAATCCTGCTGGGGCCCCACAGAAATGGGCGCAGCAATATTAAGGCCAATCTCCTTATCTTCCAGCTCCTGCATAACACTAGGCGAAGCAGCCGCCTCATCCTGGTTAGACATAGGCAGGGAGCCACTAGCACCTCCTTTTCTCAAGCGTGGGCAAACCCGGGGAGCCGAGCCCCCTGACAGGGTCACAGGCTTGGCTGGCAGGCGAGCACCCTTCTTCGGTTTAGGTGCAAGGACCACATTCTCCTCCTCCTCAGATTCCTCCTGCAAGATCAGTCTACGCCGGCGGGATTGCTCAAGAACTACCTCTAAAGGATCAGCCACCAGTTGCTGAGGGGGAGCCTGCTTCCTGTGTCTACTAGTTTGATGGCGGCTCATAGGATCTTGGCGAGGAAGAGTAGAACTCTTCCTAGGAGACAGTTTCCGTTGAGATTGGCTAACCCCTCCTCTAAGCTTAAACCGAGGGGATTTCCTGAGATTAAACCTTTTCGGGTTTATACGGTCACCGCCCTGTTGTAAGGGTGATTCTGGCAGCCTAGACTGAGACTTCTGGCTGGCCTGTCCTTCTGGTTTAGTAGGCCGAGCCTGGTAAATGGCTGGAGCCTGAGGATTCCCTGAAGATCCCCGCGGCCTCTCCTCCACGCGCCCCCTGGCAGTCATTGTCGAACCACCCTTCTGCATTTGCACATTCCTGTTAACCCACACAGATTTGCTCACATCTCGAGTCTTAGGATAGTTGTCCTCCTCCATGTATATCTTCCGTCCGAGCTTCCTTGTAGACATATGCGGGCCAAAGCGTTCTTTACCCGGAGGGGGATCAAAAACACAATTGCGCTTGGAGTGCCCCACGCGCCCACAGTGAAAGCAGACAGTCGGTAAGAATTAATATTTGAGGTTAACCCAGAACTCGCCAAGCTCTACGCTTACCGCCATGATTTGTGACCGCAGGGGCTTAGAAAATCGATGAGGGTATGAACTTTCATAAAGCTCTCCCCCGTTTCCTTGGATGCAAAGACATCCGCTTCCAAGACCTGGCTGATAGTCCCAGCCACCATTTTCTGGCCAAATTGCTTCATGCAGCAATCATCTTTCACATTACAGAGCTGCACTCGAAAGGGGGCAGTGGCTAATTCATCGAAGGTGAGCCTCGAGATGGTTGGTGTCCAGGACCGGAGATGGAAAATCCTGTCTTTGACTATCTAGGGCGTATGTTTGAGAACCCACACCCTTGTTTCATCACTTGGCAGCACCACCTCAAATAAGCCGAATTGAGTAAGTTAAACCCTAAGGTTTCCTTTCACCCGCCATGCTTCAACTAATCCCTCTTTCAGCTCTGCAGTAGTAAACTTGGCCTCCGAAAAGAGCCTTCCCAGGAGGGTCCTAGAAGTGCGAAACCTCACAGATTGAACCTCCTCAAGTGAGAACTCGATCACTTGATCCTCAGTAATTCGCGACATCATACTCACCTGACAAGCAATAGCTAAATCGTTAGCTTTAATAGGTAAAATTGGTGCACTCATAGGAATTGATGGGAACGAGCCAAATGGCGGACAAAATATGCCTTTGTTAATAAAATTCTTATAATCATTAAAGAGGGGCAAAAGACCCTCCTGATTCCCAAGGGAATTAAAAAAACGATCCACAACTGGCCCGAAGGCACGCGTGTCCTTCTCCACCGAGGTAGAATCATGGACTATGTCTGAGTTTTGAAGTGAGGCAAGAGTTGGCAGAAGACAATCTGCCTCTCTTGAAATAAAACCCGCCACAGGGGAAGAGGTATCGGGCGTGCTTGGTGCTTGCCGCAGCCCAACAGAGGGACAACCCAGCAGGGTCTTGGTACTCGAAAGCACAAAGGGCACAGTCGGGGCAGAGGTGGGAGAAAGCAAGGAATCGAACTTCTCTTTACCTGCCGAAGGAAATAGAACCGCGTGCGACCGGCCAGGGGGGACGACGGAAGTCACCGAAGGCGCAAGTTCAGAAAACCACCAGCGTTCGCTTCCTCTCGTCTCTGTAGAGTTTTTGAGCCGCCTGGAAATTTTAGATAGTAGGCAAGGCAGCGGCAGACCCAATTTATAAGTAGTAATAGCAGACAAGCCTCCTAAGAGGCGTGGCCCTCTGCAATTTACAGAGAGTAGAGTTTGAGTAGGAGAAGGAATTCTCCCTTGGAGGAGAAGAGAACGTTTCTTCGGGGAGGGAATCTGATTTTGCGGTTTTAGATATCCCCCGTGAATCGCGCGTAGCCAGAATAGGGAATCGGGACGGAAGGGAACTCTATCCACCCGACTAATTCGCAACTCCCCCAGCCCTCTCCAATCGTAAGTGCCGCCAGCACCTCCGCGCGAATCGTCATCGGGCTTTTTGGGATTTCTGGATCGAAATCAACGCAGTTCCTTCCTCTGCGAAGAAGGGATCACAGAATCCCCAGCCACCAAAGGAATTGCGCTAGGTTTACTCTTTCGCCTATCATCACTAACGTCGCCCTTGCATATGAAATGGCGAAATACCAATTCTGCACCAATCGGTATCCTGGGACAATTCCCAACCCCTAAGGGGATAACTTGAAGCTCCTGGTCACATCACCTAATCTGGGTAATTTGAGGTTCAATGACTGGAGCATTGCAGCCCGCGAACGGGGTGGATTCTGGTTCTTCCTCGTCAAAATCGGACGACTGCGGAAGCCAAAATCGCCAGGGCTTTCGTGACCCCTGTTTGCATCTCTTTGATTGATGGTCAATCGAAATCTCCGGACTCTCAAAAGCAAGCAACCATGATCGCTTGAGTGATCGCTGTCTCGCTTCGCCTCTCCGATCGGAAGCACAACCGGGTCTCTTCAGCCATTTCATCGGCCTCTTCCCTTCTTGCCTGATGATGGGATGGGCTTCTCTTATACCCTTCTCCTGGACATAGCTACGAACAGAGTATGGCGGTCGCAGGAGCCAGTTTGCCTTGGCCTGATTTCGCACACTCACCACAAAGGCACCGGCGGCGGCTCTTACTAGCCACCGACCGGCTACCAAACAGAGCAGAAGGAGAGAGGACAGAGCCTCTCGAAACATTTTTTTTTGTTTTGGTTAGTGAGTCCTCTTACAGTAGTTAATAATAAGACTTAACAATAGCCGTATCCTACAAACATGGTTAATAATTGGTACTTTTGGTTAACTGAACTAGAAATCCGAAGCGAAATAGAAAGAAAAAAAACCCCAAAAACGCTCCCTCCTCTCTCCTCTCGTCGGGTGAGATGGTAGGGCCTTTCGCCTTCGTGCGACGATGCCGGTAACGGCCATCCCTTCCGATTTCCGCCAGTTCTGGCAGTTCAGGCCCGCGATTGGGATAAATCTCTTCCCGGATTCCTTCGGCTTCTCACTTGTTCTTCGTGACAGTGTTCAATTTACGCTATTCTTGTGTTCCAGTAATCGATTGCCTCTTCTTCGTTTCGCTCTAATGGCAGCTGTTCAGTTTGATGACGCTGACGTTGCTGTTGGTGCCCAGCGTCTCGATCAAACCTTGATTGGACGCCTCTGTGGTCCTCTTCCCCCGCTCCCAATGCTTCGTTCTATTATCGGCAGGGTATGGAAGTGTGACGTTTCGTTTGCTATGGTGGAATGGGATCTCCTCCAATTTTTTTTTTCGACTCAGCAACCGCCGACCGAATTCTCAGAACCCCCTCCTGGATCTTTGAGAAATTTATCATCCATGTGCGGCGCTGGGTTACTCCTAAGGCGGAATTGGCGGCGAATTTGGTCAATGTGCCTCTTGTAGCACAATTTTGGGGTGTCCCTTATGCCTACTGCACTGAGAAATTAGGCTCCTTACTTGGAGGGGCCTTGGGAGCCACAGGGCCAGCAACGATTCATCGATCGACGTCCTCCGGTGGCCTCTACATCCGGGCAAAGGTGTCGATTGACCTTCTGCTTCCTCTCCCGGATGAAGTTTCCGCTTCTCATGTGGATCCATCCAAAGGGTGTTTCAAGGCACAGGTGAAGTTCGAATCTATCCCCCAGTTATGTTTCCTTGATGGCATCATTGGCCATGTGAGAATATTGTGCCCGCAGAAAGATGATTTGGCTAGGGCTCCTCCTCGCTATGGCAAACATATGATTGCCAAGGAATTTGGTCCCCCAGTCAATGATGCTACGCTGGCCCGTCACCGCAAGCGCTTCGTCTGGACATTGGCTGGGAATTCCTCTGCTGGCCGCTCTGAGAGCTCTTCTGGTCCAGGATCTGGTCCTCTGGCGGGTCATACTTCTGGCCAAAACTCTGCCCAACTGCGGATGGCAGAGCATCTCCAACTCTTGCAGATTGTTGATGCTGATTCGGAGGGGCAGTCTGCTCGGGCTGTTGTTTCATCCCAAGATGGTGACTTGGACATGGTTGATGTCGCTGAACCCAAGTCTAAGCGGGCTCGTTTGGTCAATCGGGAGGATGTTTCGGTTTCTATGGAGTTCAACAGGGTGGAGGCAGTCGGCCCAAACCGGTCCCCAGTTGATAAATGAGCATTCTTATTTGGAATTGTCGGGGTTTGGGGGCTCCCCGGACAATTCATGTTATCCAGGAGGCTATTACTCGGGACTCCCCTTTTCTAGTTTGTTTGAGTGGGACTAGGCGTGATGATGATTTCGTTGTTCAGCAATTGGGTAATCTTGGTTTTCCCGAGGACCGTGTACATAGTGTGTCGAATAATGGTAGTGGACTTGCTGTTGCCTGGTCCTCTTGTCTAGTGTGTTCTATTTCGGTTGAGTCATCCGGTTTCTTGTTCCTCGAGTGTGAGCACCAGTCGTTGGGTCGTTTTGCTGTTATCTTTGTACATTTACATTGTGATGTTGGCCCCCGTCAATTTCAGCTTAATGAAAATTCCTTTCTTGTTTCGTCGTATGAGGATCCTATTTTTGTGATGGGTGATTTCAATTTCCTTCTATCTAGTTCAGAGAAACAGGGGTGCAGAACTCCCACTGTTGCAGTTTTAGAACAACTTAACCTGTTTTTAGCCGCAGGAGGTCTTCAAGATTTGGGATTTATAGGCCCTCCATTTACTTGGTCCAATAGACAATCTAACGGTGATCACATTCAATCTAGATTGGATCGCTGCCTTGCTAACCACCTTGTTCTCTCTTTGTGGCCAGAAGTGCGGGTACATCATCTCACAGACAGGGGTTCTGACCATAGGATGCTTTTGACTCGGTTTGTGAAGCCGGCGGTTCGGCGAGTTTGTCATTTTCACTATGATAACCGATGGGATTTCAACCCTGATGTCCCTCATATTATTCATAATGCATGGACTAAACCTGTTGCAGGCACTCCTCTCTTTAGAGTTCAATCTAAACTCAAACAGATGCGTCACGAACTGCTTGATTGGGCAAAGGCAGGTACTTCGAACTCTGCCCGACTTATCCAAGAGACCAGAGAAGCTATTGATTCAGCAAGGGATGCGGTTGCTGTTAATTGGACACTGATTGGAAGTTTGGAGGCGCAGCTTACGGAGGCATACCGGCAGGAGGAACTATATTGGCAGCAAAAGTCCCGGGTTAATTGGTTACATGGAGGTGATGCTAATACCCGTTTTTTCCACTTAGCTACCATGCAACGCCGACGTTCGAATATCATCTCACGTCTCCGGGATGAGCACGGAGTGGTACATTCTGACGAACAACAGAAAGGGGAAGTCTCTCTCTTACTTCCAGAATATTTTCGCCTCTAATGGTCGTGCTTCTTTGGAGTTTGTTAGTAATATGAATATTCCGACTCTGATATCTTCGGACGTGAATGTTTTGCTCACTGCACAGATTACTAGAGCAGAAATCAAGCAGGCCTTCTTCAGCATTAGGAAATATCAAGCCCCGGGATCAGATGGCTTCACCGGTAGTTTCTTTCAACGATTTTGGGGCGAGATTGGAGCGGATGTGTCAGAAGCGATCATTTCTTTCTTTTCTACAGGTCGCCTCCTACATAGTATCAACCATACGTGGCTGGTACTTATACCCAAAGTTGGGAATGTCGATTCTATGCAACAGTGGCGGCCGATTGGTCTCTACCAGGTTATGTATAAAGCTATCTCCAAGATCCTCTCGAATAGACTGAGTACCATCCTTCCTCATATTATTAGCCCTTTTCGGAATGGTTTTATCAAGGGTCATAGCATTTCTGATAATATTCTTATTGGTCAAGAAGTGATGCAGTTTCTCAAAACCAAGGTTCCTGGGCAGGACAAGTGGATGGCCCTTAAACTTGATATGGAAAAAGCGTATGATCGTGTGGAATGGGAGTTCTTGTTTCATATTATGGAGTCAATGGGGTTCTGTGCTCAGTGGATGAAATGGATTAAGGATTGCGTAACGGCCGTCCGATTCTCGGTGCTCCTCAATGGCAAAGAATATGGATACTTCCAGCCTCAACGGGGCATCCGCCAAGGTGATCCTTTGTCACCTCTTCTTTTTGCCATCTATACGGAAGCTTTTGAGGCAATGATTACCCAAGTTGTTGCTATCTCTACGCTTCATGATTTAAAAGTGCACAGGTCTGCTCCTTCCCTTTCTCATATTTTTTATGCGGATGACTCCTATCTGTTCCTACGTGCTTCTGTTCCTGAATGTGCTAACCGTCTTCATCTTTTTAGCGGAATATGAAATGTTTAGTGGGCAGCGGGTTAATCTCCATAATTCTGCTATGTGTGGGAGTGCGAATGTTTCAGAACAGGAGTTACATTCGCTCAGTACGTTTTTAGGAGTTGCGACTATGTATCCTGATGACAGGTACTTGGGACTCCCGTCCCAGCTTCGTCGGTCTAAATCATTGACTTTACAATTTATTGAAGAGGATCTGGCTGCACGGATTCGAAGTTGGAAGACGAAGGCATTGTCTCTAGCGGCAAAGGAAGTGGTTATCAAGTCGATTGCGGCTGCGCGGCCTATCTATGCTATGTCGGCTTTCAGACTACCTCAAAAAACATGTCGATCCTGTAATAGTCAGCTGTCGAAGTTTTGGTGGGCAAACCAGGATAAGGAGAATGGCATTCATTGGGTCTCTTGGTCTGCGATCTGTCAGAGTAAGTTTGTGGGAGGGCTCGGTTTTCGGGGTTTTAATCTATTTAATGTTGCTTTGTTAGCTAAGCAGGCATGGCGCATTCTTTGCAACCCATCTAGCACTCTTGCCCGGATTTATCATGCAAGATATCATCCTCAACGGATATTTTTAGAGGCGACAACAGGCTCCCGTCCTTCGTGGGCGTGGCAAGGCATCCTGCCAGGAAGAGATCTTCTACGTCGGGGTTTAAGATGGCAAGTGGGAATCGGGAATCGGATTCATACTTTAACGGATAATTGGCTTCCCTCTTCTCCTCCTTCTACCCCTGTTTTAAGGCCAGGTTTGAGTTTTTGCCCTCCTTTAGTCTCAGATCTCATTTTCCCTACTTCTCACTCGTGGAAGAAGGATCTCTTACTTTCTCTGTTCACTCTAGAGAGTGTTGATCTCATTTTGTCTATACCTCTCCCTACTTCTGTTTCGACTGATCGTTTGATATGGCATTATTCTTCCTCTGGTCTTTACACTGTTAAGACAGGTTATCATCTTTTGTCTTCCGAGTACAATCTTCATCATCCTCCAGTAGTCCTCCCTTTTGACACTCGTTTTTTGGAAATTTCTTTGGAGTATTCCTGTTCCTCTAAAGCTAAAGTTCTTTTTTTGGCAAGCTGTCCGCGGCTTCTTGCCCTTGCAGATAGTTTTGTTTACTAAAACTCTTGTGTCTGACACGATCTGTCCTATATGTTCCGGGGAACCGGAATCCTTTTCCCATTTTTTCTTTACTTGCAGGGTAGCTCAAGGGCTGTGGAGACTGGCGGACCTTGAAGGTTTGCGCATATCTCTTGGAGGAATGAGTCCTCATGAGGCCTGGCGACATCTTTTCTTTTCTATGAATCTTTCGAAAATTGAGAAAGCTAATATTGTTTTCATTCTTTGGCGGATTTGAAAGGGAAGGTGTTGGGTGGTCCATGAAGGCATTCAATATCTCCCATCGGCTCTGTTTCAGCAGTTTCAACGGCAAGTGGATGAGTGGAGGACGTTAGGGCCCAACCATTCGATTCATCCACTCGGTGGTACTGGTTCTGCAGCTCCAGGTCCTTCCCGTGCTCCCAGTATCACACCTACGACTCCTGGTTCCTCAGCTTTTATCAATGTCTGGTTTGATGGTGCTACCAAGAGTGGTCATGGAGGTAGTATTGGCTTTGTCGGCTACCATACGACATGTAATGTTCTGTTTGCTTTTGGGAAATTTTATGATGGGATTCAGGACCCTTTTCTCATGGAATGTTTAGCTCTACGGGATGTTGTACAGTGGTGTCTATCTCATTCCTTTCTTGCTGTTTGTTTTCATGGGGACTCTCAACTCTTTATCCGTCGGATGATTGGAGGTGATATGCATCATGTTCGGGGTGGCGCTAATTTGGAGGACGTTAGGAGCTTGGCATCTTCTTTCCACAGTATTTCTTTCTGTTTTGTTTCTCGTCAACTTAATAGGGCTTCTCATCATGTGGCACAAAAGGCCCTCTCATCGGGAGTTCGACTATTGGTCGACTCCCACGCTTTTCTTTCTTCCGGTTTGTGACTTTTGATTAATAGACTTTGCCAAAAAAAAAGTACTTTTGACCATCATGATTTAACGTTATTCAAAACTAGGGGTGGCTATACGGTCCGGTCCGGTTAAATTTCACTAAATTGATCCGGTTTCAGTCCTGTTTTTTCGACAATATAAGGACCAAAGATTGGATTGGATCCAATCCGGTCTTGACCCGGTCCGGTCCCAATTGGATCTTGATTTTAGGTGTTGGGGGTCTCTTATCCTGTCTTTATCCGGGTTTTTTTTACCTCAAATCTAAACCCGAATATGAGATTGGCTTGTTTGATATCCATTCCCAGTCCGATCCCGATCCAGATTATACGGTCCGGTTTCGGGTAAAACCAAACAGTCCGAACCAAATAGCCAGCCCTAGTCAAAACTATTAACCAGCGTATTCAAAAACGGTGTCTGTGGTTAATAAATAATAAGTGTTTCTTTTAAACATAATTTTTTACAGTAATAATACAATGGTCAACGATAATTATCAGCTACTGTTCATTCCACGGTAGCCAATACTATTAACCAAAGTATCAGAAAACCCTAGTGAATAATCATTTATTTACCCCTGTTTGGACCTTTAGCCACGCCGAGGTTATCCACAGTGGTTAAAAGTACTAACCGACGTATTAAGTATTAACCACCGTTTTTAATTACCATAACTAATGGGTTAATTACATAGTTGGTCACTGAGATTATTAAAAACGTTCGGATTGTGTCACTAAAAATATTTAATTCCGCTCGTTGTCACTAAAATTAATCAAACGATTCAAGTTTGGTCACTCTCCGTTACCTTCCGTCAACCTCCATTAGCGCCGTCAGTTTTTTGCTAACGTGACTAACAGAAGTGTCTACTCATCTATTTTTAACGAAAAAAATTTAACCCAACCCGCCACCTCATTAAAAACCCACCATGTTAGATTGTCCCACTCAACCCATGACCCAACCTTTCTTTCTTGATCCACCTGACCTAAAAATATTCCAATTAATAATTATACAAATTAACCAAACAAATCATCTTCACAAACCCTATTCATCCTCTCCCGTCACACCGATTTGCCTTGCCACAAAACCGATCTCGCCGTCGTCCAATACAACGTTGGAACTGCTACACCTAACCTTTTACTAATATCTCAATTACACTAACTTAACCCGGCACTTCAACTTCTCGCCGCCCACTCCGCCTAAACCCCCTTCCCGCTTCATTTGATGGGGAAAATCCATCTCATTTCAATTTTTTTCCTTTCTTGGCAATTGGGTGGGTTATATACGAAGAATAAGAGGGAAGATGGGGGAGCATTAGAAGATCAGAATCTAGAGGGAAAGAGAAAGGAATCAGGAGAGGGGAATAGAAGAGAGAGAGAGAGAGAGGAAGAACTCGAATCAGATATCAAGCATGACATAAGCAAACTTGGGGCTCGACCAAGAACTCGAATCTCACATCGACGGGCGGCAAAGAACTCGAATCTCGATCACCGCAAGGCATAATTGGAGGTAGAATTGGTGGCGGTCTCCTCGACTATCCTTTTCCCTCCGACTCCAGCCGCCCTTGTCCCTCTTCCTCCGCCTCCGCTGCCAAAATCATGGCAACTATTCTTCTGAACAACAGCACGCATGGCCTGATCCACCATCCTCAACGCTATACAACGCTATGAAGAAGACCGACGTCCGGGACACGGTCGGATGGCAAACGTTGTCGTTGGCTGGCGTGGAGTAGTTTTTTGGGAAGAAGACTGATGTATGTTTGCTATTTGATTTGGGATTTGAGGGTAGAGGGATTTTTTCCAGTTGGGTCAACAAGAGGAAGAAGAGGAAGGGTCGGGTCAATGGTTGGGTTGGATTGGGTTAGTTTCTTATGTGGCTGGTTTTAATGAGGTAGTGGGCCTGATTTTATTTTGTGGGTTAAAATTAGCTTATTTGGCACTTCTGTTAGGCACGTCAGCAAAAAACTGATGGCGTTAATGGAGGTTGACGGAAGGTAACGAAGAGTGACCAAACTTGAATCATTTGATTAATTTTAGTGACCACGCACGGAATTAAATATTTGTAGTGACCAAACCTGAACGTTTTTCGTAATTTCAGTGACCAACCATGTAATTAACCCGTAACTAATTTTAGATTTCTCCGTAATGTTGGTGCGGGTTAAAACAAATATACAAGCCAAAAACTCAAACAACAACCAGACCATAAAAACAAACAATGAGCCCTCTACACAAGAAATCGCAAGACATAACATCATCATCGTCAACTCCGAAACACAACCACGTCCACCAACTTCGTGTACCAATTCACTGATCAGTTGCCAGGGCCTGCCGGGGTAAGGCCGGGGATGGAAGGAATGGTTGGAAACCCGCTAGGCAGTGGCGGCAGAGAAACCTTTGGCATGGAAGGAATGGTGGGCATGGTGGGAATGGCGCCGGCGCTGGGGAGTGGCGGCAATCCTCCTCCGGACGGCAGGGTGGGCATGGCACCGGCGCTAGGGAGCGGCGGCAATCCTCCGGTAGGGAGAGTTGGTAGCGGCAGAGATGGGATGGTGGGCATAGGAGGCAGTGCTGTGGGTTGTGGCAGTTGGAGAAGCTGTCGAACCGCCATTCCATGTTCCATGTTGCAGAATGTGACGGCGAGGACGAGAGCAAAGAGGAACAAGTTAGAAGAAGAAGCCATGTCTGATTTAACTTGTTGGAGGAGATTTCCGAGGGTTGTTTTGTTTGGGTTTTGTTGGTTTCAAGTGATGGAGGAAAAGGTGTCGGAGGTAGGGATTTATATATAGGCAGTCAAATTACTCGTATAGTTGAGAAAAAAGTATAAGTAGTTCACCTCCTGTCTGTTTTTCTTTGTTTGGAAAGAGTAGTTCACCTCCTTACCCATAAAAATGCTGACGGGGTATGTAAGGAAAACGGCTGGTCGGCTATCTAGCTAGCTAGCACAGCTTCTCCAAGTTTGGGTAATCTAATATGTTTGGTTTGAACTTTTTCCCTTTTTACATAGAAATAGTGAGCTTCTATCCATATCACGTACTTACAACATCAGCTACTAAATTGTCTAATGTGCATTTGAGCTAAGGTTAGCTAATTTGTCTATCTAGGTCTGCAACTTTGGAATGCCTATTTTAGTATTCTGAAGATCACCAAAATAACCCGTCAATATTATCTTATCTCCCTACTTGTCGAAGTTGTTCAGTTTAGCATACTTTTCGTCATCTCCATGACCATGTGATTTTTTTCGATGCCATGGCGTTTTGTTATGGTGTGTACTATATGGTTAGTTGAGAAATTTTATTATGCTATAAAGCATTGATGCTTTAGTTTTTCTCTTTAATTTGTGATACAATTTGAAGTTGTACCTTTAACGTTATGGTACAACTTTAGCTTGTACCTATACTTTTTTGTAAAATCTCGTTATGATACAAAATAAAGTCGAACAATGTGAATTTAGCTTCTGTATGATTTCAAACCAGTTTTTTACGGTTCAGTTTTGGTTTTCCGAACTGGATGGTCACCCCTACTCCAGTCCCATACATTTACATCTTGATAGTGCAAGAAGAAAAAACTTAGTGGAAGTCATTGCTACTCTATCCATAGTGCAACCATTTATCTTGTCGATAGTCTCAAATGTGCCGCAATCAAAGGGACGGGATACCATCACAACCACCTTAGGGGTTGTGAGTTTTACAACTCACTTTGTAGCCATTAGATGTAATCTCTCTCCTGTCTCTCTCTTGTCATTTTTAAATTGATGGTTGAGATGAAAGAAAAGGTATTTTTGGGAGGAAAAAACTTACCACACTCAATCATTTTTCCTCCCATATAAAATAATAAAACCCTAATCTAACTCATACCAACTCCACAACCGTTCATCTCCTTTTCCCTTTCCTCCCTCTCTTTCGTCGACAACTCCACAGCCGTTTCACAACTCCACAGCCGGCCGCCGCAACTTCACCTCTCTCTTCCTCTGTCATGCTCGTCGACACCCTCCGGCCTCCACCGCACCTCCTGTCCTCGCCCCCTCAGCCCCTACGCTCCCCGTCATGCCCCGCCGCCCCCGCTGCCCGCTGTCGTTTTTACGTCGTCGTCGCGAGGTTACTGAAACTCGCCTCCCCCTTTCCTTTTTTTTTTCCAGATATGTGATTTTTTATATTCCATATTTGCTTTTTGTCTTAGTTTCTAGTGGTAGTCTCTATTGGTACGGTACTAGTGAGCATTAGTAGCGTACCACTATCGCTGGTATCGTACCACTACCATTGGTACCTATACCAGTGATCACCGGTACGTCACAGTGACTAGTGATAGCGTACCACTACCATTTATACCACTGGTAGCGCTACTGGTACGCTACCACTGCTCACTTGTATGTACCAGTGACTAGTGGCAGCATACTAGTACTTACTGGTACACTACTAGTGGTAGTTTTTGTGTACCACTAGACAAAATCATTACTATTAGCACATTAATGGAGTGGTATTTTTTGCAGGTGGCTGGAGCGAGTATGATTGAAAGATTTCACCGGAGAAGGTCTGCCGGTCGGAGAAAGTCAGCCGATCGGAGTGAGTGGCTGCTGGAAAAGGAAGAGAGAAATGTATTTGTGGCAGGATTTAAATTTTAAAATAAAATAATCTATTTAATATGGGTTTTAATTTTCCAAAATGTAATTAATATAAAAAGGAAAGTAATTAATAAAACTCTTTTTTGCACTACCCAAATTACCCTTAGTTGTGAAACTCACAACCCTTTTGAGGGATGTCATCGTATCCCAGGCCACAATCAAAAAGATAACTTGAGAATAATCGCTATCATGAATCTTGATTAAGAACTCTTGAAATCCAGTCATGCGATTGCCGACACTATTTACCATCCTACTCTAGTACTTAAACACATATTCTTTCCTCCTTCATAGTTGCAGACACTAGCGATATGCACATTGCTCACTTAGGTATAAATCAATCATCCTTTGATTGTTAAAGGGAAAAGAGATGCACACGGATCGCTGAGCTGGCAAGCGAGGTAATGAGTAATTGCTTAACAAGGGATGACGTCAGTTAGGGCTGGGAATTTGGATCAAAAGTATGACAAACCGTGGTTTTGATTATACCGTACGGTTTGGTTCAGACCGTGAAATCATAAATACAATTTGGTTTGATCCATAATCTGTTCTTTTAGTTTGCAATATGGGACGGTCTGATTTGATCTAAACCGCGATTAACCATCTAGACAGTGGCTCCCAAGACCAATACGGTAGGACCCCATGTCCCCACCCCACCCCAAATTGCAAAAGAAAAACCCAAGCTCCCATCCTATCCGTCATCCGACTGCCCAACTAACCCTCACGTCTCCATCACCAGAAGGCATAGACAAAACTCTGAGACCACCAGCGCCGTCATCATCGATCTTTGACTCCGTGACTATCGCTGGCCGGAGGTTGCTGAAAGTAGGCCGACCAGAATCGCATTTTCTCTTCCTCCAGTCAGTTAGACCACTCCAATCGCCGGCAACCAGCAATCATGCTCAAGGATTCCGTCAAGTTCCTCTTCGTCTTTGTTCTCGCTCATCCTCCCTGACCAAAATTACGTTGTTCGACGAACCTCCCTCCTCCAAAAAGAATTCTCCAACCCTCAATCCATCAATTGTATAACAAGCTGCCTCTATGCGATGACCAACATATTTCTCTCTTGGTAATTGACTAATGCTCTAATAACAATCCTTACCCTGGTTTGTTAATACTTAATCGCTTTATGAATTCATAATGAAGATCATCATTGTTGGTCGATTATGTTTTAATGAAAGTATCCAATTACTCTAACCAATTTATGATTAGAAGGGCCCTTTCTTTGTACCCGGCCTCATGTCGCAATTTTGATTTCGCTGCCTGGTTAAACTCCAGGATGTAATGATCTTTGTTCAATCTATATATGATTATCTTTTGTCAAAAAAAAAAAAATTTATGATGCATTATTGTTGGAAAATATATGTTTTGTTGAGCATGGTCTGCTTGGTTCAGACAGTACCGGATCGCATTGCACAGGAGTGGTCTGGTCTGGACCGTATAGTATGGTCGTCCATATGATCTGGTCTAGACCAGACCGCACCGTTTCTCAGCCCTAATGTCATTCCTCTAAAAAATGATCTGGTTTAGACCAGACCGCACCGTTTCCAGCCCTAATATCAACCCACTAAAATGGGGAATTCGAGATTCTTAAAGAACGTATCTTGAGTCCATTCATTTTCTCCAATAAACTCACGACCTATTTCTTCACTAAAGAACCATATGATTCATTATTGAAATTAAGAAGTAGGGCTATCTGTTCGGGTTGGGTTACCCGAATCAAAACCGATGTACCTGAAAAACTAGAATTGTTTTCCTTTGAAAACCAAACCCAAAACCGATAAGGATTTTTCAAGTTTCGATTAACCAAAACCGAATAAATTCCTTATTGGTTTCGGGTTCAGTTAAATCCAAATTGAAACCCCTGTAGGATATAACTCAGCTGCTATGCCTTAATGTGTTTGAATCAAACCCGTAAACTGGATAAGAAAAACCAAACTTGAAAACCCGACAATGCATAACCTGTTTGATTTTGGTTAAAAGATAGACAACCCTATTCAAAACTGATGTACCCGAATCAAAACCGATATACCTGAAAAACCGAAATTGTTATCCTTTGAAAACCAAACCCGAAATCGCTAAGGGTTTTGCAAGTTTCGATTAATCAAAACCGAAAGACTTCCTTATTGGTTTCTGGTTCGGTTAAAGCAAAATTGAAACCCATATAGGATATAACCCAACTACTATGACTTAATGTATTTGAGCCAAACGCGAAAACGGAATAAGAATAACCAAACCTAAAAACCCGACAATGCATAACCTGTTCGATTTGCGTTCCAATACAATCATTACTAAACCAATATTTTCCACTAATTCCTATTCCAAACTAAAAATTAACGTTTGTCAATTGACCATGCTTGGAGCAATGTAAGTCCCCCCCTGATGCCCGACAAATTGTAGCTACTCCCACTGTTCTGATAGCTAATCAAGAAGACCTAGTTTGCTCATCTGTATGGTGATTCACTCAATTAACACACTTCACTCCATTGACAGCCTGCTCTCCTCAATTGTGTTGTGTTCACGAAGATCAGAAGCCATCAAGTGCATCAGGTCCAAGGGTAACTGATATGTATAAAGCGCTGGCCAAATGTAATTGAGTCGTTCTACTTGAAATATGAAGATTTTTGCTTAATTGTTTTGGCTCGTGATGCGGCTATGTTTGAAGGTAGACCGATGCAAATAACAGTATAGCTCTAGAGCTATTCTACACATCAGGTAGTAGGGGCATTAATTGATAATGATATGGGTGTATTCCAACAAGTACAGAATTTGGAACGTGCCTTATATAGCATTGATCTATAATGGTTTGAGATTTTTCAAATGAGTGATTTGATATGTTAAACTTTCCTATTTTTGAAAATGAAACCTTCAAAGTGGAACATGAAGATTTTGGATTAACCTTAGTTTCGTAATGCCCTTATCGGTTTTTATTCTCTAAAATGCAGTTGTATTTCAAAGTAACCCATCACAAATGGTAAGTCAGGATACAACGATGGTACCAAGTACCGACATATGTTTAAATGTTACGATTGGCCTAAGAAATGTATGTCTCTTCATTAACTGTTAATGATTGTCGGTTTTGGTTTCGTAGTGAACTGTTCATTTGTTTAGAAGTAATCAAATGCTTGAAATCCGT